TCCAGGGTTCACGCAGATGCACTTGAGTTCTGCATCATCATCTCCACCTTCAATGGTGAGAACCTATTTCATAGGGAAAACACGAGATTTAACCAAACGTGTCTTGTTACCATTTTTCTTAATTTGACAAACATTTCAAGCATTAATATCTTATGGAAAAACAAACTGTTTATCAACCTTCACAAACGGAGCCAAGTCTGAAGGTAAAATTAGTATATCTGGAGTCAAAGAGAATCTGAGTGCTTTCTCCGCGAAAGAAAAATCCAAAGGAACTTCTTTTGCAGGTGGGTACAGTGGGTAGAAGCTGAAATAGTGACAAAACTTAGAGAGAGAGAGAAGAACATAATATCAGAAAAAACAAATCCCTTTTGTTGGTATTATCTAATGTACCTCTGCTGGCTCAATATATGTTTTGCTAGATTAGCCAATCGCTGCTTAGATTCTCCTGGTGGATTCCGACAAATTTCCTCTGCACTAAGATGTTTTAGTATGTCCACTGTGCAGCAAGCCACATTTACCTGTATATCGAAAAAATTAATAGTCGACTCAATTATCTTAATCTATCTTCGTAATTCCCAAAAGTGGTTTCATCACCAGATTGTTGCATTCTTAAGCAGAATCAGACAGTTGTAGAGGTCATGGAACAACAAAAGTTACTATCTTTTGGGCCATCATTAGCAAGTTATGCTTGGAAAATTGAAATTTTTACTTGGACCTATTTGTAATTGATATAATCTTCACAATCTCCCATAATCATGTTTTTGTAGTGTTTGGAAGTTAGCAACTGTAAGAATTTCCCCTCATGGAGGAACTGTTATTGTTACCTCATTAGCGCAGAACACTCCTGGGTTAGATATGCTGACTACCTGTTTATAACAAAAAAATCTAATCATGTTAATAGGCAACTTGCCATCCATACAGACATTACTACAATCATAAACATCTGTACCTGATGACTAGAAACTGTAGGATGGATCTCAAAAGCAGGCTGTCAAAATAACAAAACATCAGTGTTATAGCAGATTACATTATTCCTAGTGAGATAAAAATCAGCATTCAATTTAACACAGAATACCAAAATATGAACCTGAGGGAAAACAAAGTCATGATGTGCATCCCTGATGGATGGCATAAGAATCACACGCGCTACAGAACCCATGCACTCAACATAATCTTGAAGCTATACATAATTAGCAAAAAAAATTAAAAAAATAAAAAAAAAATAAAATAGAAGCTGAATAAAACAGGTAAGCTTAAGCTGAATATGTCAATGCAACTAACTTATTTCTTTTAATTATCACCTTTTCAAGGATCTGAAGGTGAAACATTTCATCAAAGGTCTGATCAACAGTTCCTTTGCTAAGCTCTGGATGATCAGAATCAATAAATGGCCCCAGCTGTCAAAAGACAAATCCAAGAAAGAGAGTATGACTATGGCCTTTTTATCTGTTTCTATAGGGCAGCAAATGGAAGCAATTATTAATACATAGTAAGGATGTCCTCACCAGGACAAGCAACTGAGGTTGCTTTCGGCGTGCATAGGCTAGAAGCTCAGTTAGAGGCTCAAATAACAAATTATCGCTTGTAGTAAATGGACCTGCTGCAACAATCTGCTTGA